AGCCCCTGGTCTGAATTTTGATTTGCTTACAATCCTTCTCGGTTAAGGAGATGCCTCCAGTGCAAAACAATCAGTGTGACATCAGGGACTGATGCTCTTCGTTCGATCAGAAGAGGGGGAGAGGGAGGGGGATGAGCTGCAATAGATCGTGCCGCCCACGGTACTTTTCACAGGGAAGCGAGCTCCCAGCCTGCCGAATCAAGTGTCCAATTTAGAAGAAACTACTTAACTAAGCGATTACAATAAAACAAAGTATTTGCTGTGGCTTTTGATGCTTTGGGCTCCATGAACCAAAGAAGCCGCCCTCGCTAGCCCCTTTGCCGTAACTCCAAACTATACATGAGCACCTAAAGCCGGACAGCAACCCATTAACCAACTCTTCAATAAAGCGTTTAAAATTCAGATCTTACTGACAGCGACATCAAGCACACCTAAACACATCTCGAAGTCCACATACCTGTTTGTTAGCGACATGTCGGGCGATTTGTGCTGCGTCGCGATTCTCGCCAACGATTACCACCGACTGTTCGGCAAATTCACATCGTGACCAATGTTCATTTTCAACGGGCGAGTTGTAGGACGCAGATGGAAGACGGCGTCGCTCGATCATGCGGCACGTGGGTAGCGTTGGGTATTCTGGAAACCAGAAACTTCAGTACTAGGTATCAAATCCTAAAATCATGGATGGTTCTGTTTTCTGTGACACTACTCTGAAAACAAGCATGTCTGATGGCAGATTAATGTTTACTTAACGGCGCAAAACATTCCCGTCAGAAAGCCACGCCGTCATTCTGTTCCACAACACGTCTCCCGTCTCCATGAAAACTATTTTGAAAAAAGGAATAGCAAAAAAGCTGAGTAAAAAAAGGAAAACCGACCTAATCAACAAATATAGACGAGTTAGGGTGGAATATGAAGGGTGGAGCCGACGCGGCGTGCGATCTCCTCAGGCGACGACCAGTTGCAAGGAAGTGGTGGCGGCAGAAGCGACTTCGCGACGACGGCGACGGGGCGATACGCGACGCTGTTAGCGACGCGCGACAAGGCGGAAGGCGATATGGTACGCGATAGAAAACGTGTATCGCAGCGACAACGACGCTCAGAAGCGGCGGTCACGCGTACACGCGGAGAGGTGAATAAGGTAGAGAAGATGGGAAGGGAATGAGACCGAAGACGACGGCTGCGGACGAATTGACCTGAAAATGAATCTAATTAGTTAATGTGAAAAACAACGCTAAAAAAACTAATGGTTCTGAGAAAAATCGTAAGATACATATACCACCACGGAAACTCGAGATCATAATGAACACAACTAGCTATTGCAGTCAAAACTTAGATGAAGTCCGACTGGCTTGAGACGCGAGCAGTCGCGGCGCGGCGCGGATAGACTGTGCATCGGTGCGGCGCCACAAGAGTATTTTATCTGGGCAAATTTAAGATAACAGTGCTCTTTCTATTAAATCTACTCACAATGCAGAGGTATGCAAGGCTGCTAACAAGGGAAGGATGGTAGGTCGAAGTGGCCGTTAAAATGAGATGTATACCACCTGATGCGTCTCCAGACGCTGATTCCAAATCTGCCTTCCAAATCTGCTAAACGACTCTCCGAACGGAGTTATGAAGCGTAATAGCTCAGTGGTGATGGTCCGGGGTGGCAGGTAAAAGCTCGTAGGATCGGTTCCTTTGCAAGTTTGTTGCTTTGCTTTTGTCCGCAACACTTCTAGAGACAAAAGCAAAGCAATCCA